AATGAGAACATGTCCCATGCTCAATATTTAAATGATTCCTATATTTGAATACATTTATACCTTGAAACAACTTTCCAGTTGTCAGAGGCTAGGCTACTTTGAGATTTTAAACTCCGAATAACTTCTATCTTTGTACCATTAAAGATAAAAGTCACAAAATAAATAAAGTCATACCATACTGGAGATTATAGAATATGAGTAAGTGACAAGTTAAGATCTCTCAAACTCTCTTCTATGTTAAATACAGAAAGCTAGCCCTTGACTTTTTGCATTAAGAGAACAGATAAACTGATTGTATTTCTTAACCTTCTCACAATCTTACTCATGTTGTGTCATTTCTCTCCTGTGAATTCCACTGGAGTTCAATATCAGTGTTTTAATACATTGGGTAATACTTTGGAAAGGATTATAATGAATTATTTTTTGACCTTTACATTATTCTACATCTTTGTTCATTAGCAACTGCTGTTGTTGGTTATTTATAGCACCATTAGTCATGATAGAAAGGGCACTCAAAAATCTGAAAATATAAAAATGCTGTTCATGTTAGAAGTATACTTAAAAGTAAACAAGTACTATCATTTTATAACTGACTCTCAGTTTTTGTACTAAAATGAGTATAGAATATCAGAAAATGGATCTAGACTAACAAAGGGAACTCTACTTAAATAATTTTTCATTAATGTTTGGGAACATGATAGTAGTCAAAACTGTAAAACATAGAAATCTTTTTTGATTAGAACACAAAGAATAAATGGGTTTGGTCCAGGGTTATTAGGAGCTGCTCTTTGCTTTCACACCTTGACTATCTAATGAATCTTCAAGTTAAACTTCTTTTACATCATACATGTATCACATCGATTTATAGTCTTTTCTCTCTCTTGTCCTAATTTCACATCATATTCATCACAGAGTTATTTCTACAATGAAATGCCACAAGCACAAAGGGATGTACTACTCCAAATAGTCACCACTACAAAACCTTTTTAAATATAAAAGCTATATTTTTATAACACATCATTCTTTCCATTACTTGTCTCTTATCTCTGCAATATGAAAGATTTAGTGGTACAGTTCATACCTCCTCAAATATATGCTACAAACCATGCCCATCACCAAAGGACCAATATTTTTTCACCAGAGTTCACTGGACCCCTCTCTTTACTTAATAACCTTTACCCTCAATTAATCTCTGGTAGTCTCTATTCTTAAATCTGTTAAATACTGTTAGTGTTTGTTTAGTTACACTAACCCAAAGATACACTTCTATGTTCATCACAACCCCCTCAAAGTAGCCCAGTTATAGAAACAATCTTAAATGCCCCAGGGCAGAAGAGCAGATTAAGATAGACACAATGGAATACTCTAGGCTATGAACAAAAGAAATAATCTTGCCATTTGAACATATAACAAAGGGGATTTGCTAAGTGAAATAAGTCTGAAGGAGAAAGACTGACAGTGAATGATTTCACTCGTAAGTGGAATATAGACAAACCAATCAAAGGAATCAGCTCTTCCTTTTAGTTTTCTGATTGGCTTTGTCTTAGGTTTTCTTTCCTCTTATGTAATTATTAAAAACAAGGTGTCAGGTTTTGCAAAATCCAGGTAGAATTTTAATAGAGGTCACATTATCCTGCAGGTGAATGTGGAGAGTGTGGACATTTAAATGTATATACCCAAGTTGCATTTTCATTTTCTAAAATTCTTCAACATCTTTCAACAACATTTTATGATTTTCAATGTAAAAGTCTTGAACATCTTGGCTAAATTTGTACAATTCAATTTATTACACTACTTGGCTAAGTATTGTATTTTTATACTATTTTAAATGGAAATACTTCCTTAATTTCCTTTTGGAGTAGTTCATTACAGATGCAACGAATTTATGTATCTTGATCTTGTCTCCTACAGCTTTGCTCGTCATTTATTCTAATTGATTTTGTGCATGTGAATCCTGTACACAAGATCAAGTATTCTGTGAATATTATTTCATTTCTTTCAAAATAATCTTTCAAAATAATTTTTATTTTAATAAATCAATTTGTGAGTAAAAAATAAAATAACTACATCCTTTGCAAACTGATCCCAAATAACTGCAACTATAAAGCTGCTTTATTACTGATAAATTATCTGAAGTCAAGATTAAAGTGATTTAAAGAAATAACAGAACTAATATAATATCCTTCCATTAGCCAATACACTTAGGTTATTTATTAACTTTGTGTTAGTATATGCTATGTACAAGGCTGAATACTTTTTTAAATAAATATTTGATATATTTTATAGGTATTTTAAAATAAATATAATCCAGGCTACTAAAATGATATGAATTCATGTGTACATGAAAAGAATCTTTATCCTGTGTTCTTTACTATGTCACACTTCAATATCTCATCCTTTGGTTATTTGGCCTTTAAGGCAGAACAAAAATATAAACAAACCTGTTTTTAATAAAAATGTTTAAATCTGATTTGTCCCACTTGACATCTGAGGCCAAACTATTCTTCAAATGCAAAGCCAGAAAAAACTTGAAGAGCATTAGTTCAAAATAACAGCATTACTGAAGAAAACCACGAGATTTAGAAACTACATTTTGACTTTCATTTTGACTACAATTCTAAAGCATAAACTGTGGTAATAGTCTTGGAGAAAAGATCTGTGCCATATAAGATCACAAAATGAAAACTATCTTTTCTCCTAGTTTATGGTTTAATTTGAATATTATATAAACTCTCAGGAATAGCTTATGTTCTTAATGTCAGATGTGTGCAATGCCTACATTAAAGTCATATCACCCAACCAATAAATATATTTTTAATTGTAAAAGGGAAGCATCACAATTAAACAAAAACTTGCACACCATAAAGACAATTCATTGTCCTCCCTTAACATATGCTTCTGTACAGGCAGAGAGTGTATACAACAAATATAGGAGATAATAGAAACTTTTTGTTCTAATAAAGCCTCCTGTAGGCTTTGTTCCATTTATTTAGTATCCCAAACTCCACAAAAAGCTTGAGTTCAATTTAGTGAAATTCTTTTAAATTAAAGGAAATTTTTTTTTTTACTTTTTATGCATACAAGATATGAAGTATAGAACACAGATGCAGGGGGTAAGAAGTTTCATCAGAGACAGAATGGGGAGCAGAATAAGCAGATGTACTGAAATACACTGCTAAGTGGAGCAGTTGGCAAGAAAGGAGAGAGAGATCTGCTATACCACAGGTAGTGGCATCCCTAGCCAGGGATGAACTTAGACCATAGTGGTGCTAGTGCTCAGGTTTAATTCCTATGCCACCAGGGAGGCCCCCAAGAGAGATTTAAAAACTCACTTCTTGATGTGAAAATACTAAACTAAAATAAGGAAGGTAAAGATATTAAATTGGAAAGTAGTATAAATGAAACTTATAAAGGTAAGGAAATGTTGCCATTAGAATGAAAGTGTTATATATATAAAAAGTCTGAATGCAGATTACGGTAGAAGATG